ATTTGAGGTCAATCGGACGTGTTTTGATAGGTTTTGGCATCGAATGTGGAATTTAGAAGTTCATAAGTTCTTAGGCTTGAATCGATGCACGATTCGTGTTTTTATCTTTGTTAGGTGCGATTTGAGATCTCGAGTAGGTATGTGTTATGTTACGGGACCTGTTGGTATATTCGGATGGGGTCCCGAGTGGCTCGGGTATGTTCCGGGATGAGTTTTGAACGAGTTTGGGCATTTCGGCACTCTGATAATGTTCTGGGAACATAGGAGTGCGAGGGCACATTTAGGAGTGCTGAGGCAAAGCCTCATGCGCGTACCTTAGAGGAAAATTGTGGACCACAGAGGTGAATTGCAGACCGCAGAATTCCTCTTGCGGCCGCAGAAAGGAGATTCTGCAGGTTCGATGGTCTGACTTCGGAAGCTTATATCTTTTAATCTACAAAGAATTTGGAGATGAAACAAAAATGAAAGTTGTATCTCTTTGAGACAATTTTTTAGAAAGGTAAACCAACCATCATTTGGACATTTGTAGCAAAAGTTATGGTCAATTTACTGAATCCTGGTAGTGTAGTGTTGTCGATGTGCGGTCGCACAATTTGGATTGCGGCCGCAAAACCCGAAATTTGCGGACCGCACAAAACTTTTGCGGTCAGCTAAATGGGGGATCAGATTTTTGTACTATATGAATGAGGGTTAGAGTATTATTTCATATTTGGACTTTGGGAGCTCGGTTTGTGGCGATTTTTCGTGGAATTTTCAAGAAATTCATTGGGGTAAGTGATTCTAACTCGGATTTGGTTAATATACATGAATATATCATTTTTTTCATCATTTAATTAGTATTTTGAGATGGAAATTTGGGACAAATTGTAGAAATTTCATTAAAAGAATTCTTGGGATTTGAATGTCGATTCGAAGTCGGATTTTAGTGAAACTAGTATGGTTGGACTCGTAATTGAATGGGTTGTCGGATTTGTGAGTTTCATCGGATTTAGAGATGTGGGCCCCACTGCCGACTTTTCAAGTATAGTTGAGATTTTTTATAAATTGTTAAATTGAAAGCATTGGAGTATATTTTGATTAATTTGCACGTTGTTTGAATAGATACAAATCGTTTGGCTTGAGTTGAGAAGATAGGAAGGCGTTTGGAGGTTGATACGTGCAGAATGGAATTTTTGGAGTATTGTTTAGCTTGCTCGGCATTGGACTCGTCTTGTTCGAGGTAAGTAACACTTCTAAACTTAGTATTGAGGGTATGAAACCCCGAATTTCGTGTTATGTGTTTGTTGTTGAGGTGACGCACATGCTAGGTGACGGGCGTGTGGGCGTGCATCGTGTGAATTATAACTCCGTTATTTCTGTGGTGCTGTGTAGTTACCTGAACTTATCTATAAACATGAAATCTCTACGTGCTAGAGTTATTGAGCTGTCATCCATGTTAGAAATCATGTCTAGGCTACATACTTATCCTGTTGGGGCCCACTGAGGTCATTAATGCTGTTGAGTTATTTGCTTACATTGCAATTTCATACTCAATTATTTTCATTCATTTCATATCATATCTCAGTCTCTGTTGCTATATATTGGCACATAATATCATCATTTTGGGCTAGTTTTTTTGTATTGTGGGCCCGAGAGACTGGAGAGATTGATGACTAAGTGAGGCCGAGGGCCTGATTGTGAGGTTATTGATACTATAGCATGTGAGTTGTCTGTGCATCACGTGAGTTGTCTGTGCAGATTATAGCGCTTGGATTGAAGGAGCCCCTCCAGAGTCTGCATACACCCCCAGTGAGCGCAGGTACCTATTGAGTGTGAGTGCGAGTACCAAGTGTTTGGGAGGACTGAGTGGATTGATACTCTGAGAGTATGCATATAGTTGTTCACTATGTTGTACCGCATTGACATGCACACTTGACATACAAGCATAGAGACGTATTTTTCCTCATGATGTACGGTATCATGTCATTCATGACTTATCATACATGACTGACATGTAGGCATAGAGATGTACTTTTTCTCATGCCATTTGATAATGAAACATGTACCCGTTGAAAAGTTTTGGAAGGAAAATTATGATTTTCAAACTTACTCATATTTTGGTATTTTCGGTAAAAGATTTGGGTTTCTACTGTTATACTTGAAAAGCATGTCTATTTTTTTTGGAACTGTGAACGAGCTGAACATCTTATTTCTGAGTTATTTCCTGTACCACTTTCATTATATTGTTATGATCCGTTGTTGGCTATTGGTGTTGGACTTTGACCCGTATTTCAGCTCGTTACTACTTTCAACCTAAAATTAGGTTTGTTACTTATTGAGTATATATGGTCGGTTGTACTTATACTACACTTCTGCACCTTGCGTGCAGATATTGGACACTGATGTTACTGTGATCGATGGGAGTGGGATTTGAAGACGTACTTGCGTTCCGGTTGTAGCTGTCTCTTGTTCATGGTAACCTTAAATTTATAAAAAAATATTTATTTATATTTTGAACAGATGATGTATTTATTTCATACCAGCTTTGTAAATTCTAAATCTTAGAAGCTTATGATTTGTACTACCGGTCCTTGAAACATTTGTGTAAAAGCAGTGTATTATCATTTCTTATCTTAATAAATCTTATTAAGTTGGATAGTTGTTAATTGGCTTACCTGACGGGTTGGGTTAGATGCCATCACGACTAGGTGAATTTTGGGTCGTGATAATAAGTCTGAAGTTTCACAAAAACTTATTAGAAAAATACATAATGCAGGACAAAACTTCAGTGTTTTTAGACAAAACTTCAGCGTTTTTAGGCTGAAGTTTTAGAAAATAAACTAAAAAAATTTCAGCATGATTTCTCTGAAGTTTCGAAAAAACTCATTACAAAAATTACATACTGCTGGATAAAATTTCAGCATATTTAGTGTGAATTTTTAGGAAATGAACAAAAACACTTCAGTAAGATTCAACTTTAGGTGGAGATAAAGATTTTGCAAGTCTTGATAGTTCATTTGGGAGGCTTGAACAAATGTGATAGATATTATAGGGACCAAACAAAGACTCAAAAAGTGAGACAAAAGAAGACACCATATTAAAATGAGAGTGCAGCCTTCAAAATTCAAAAAAAATATACAAGAAAAAGAAACATGATTTTCATTTATATATACGTATTACAAGATAAAAAACCACACAAAACAAAAGAAAGCCATAAAAAATATTAACAAAAATACAGAAGAAAAACATAAAAAGGGGATTAAAAAAATTAAGCATCACCACCATCATCAGAATAGTACTCCTCAATTTCTCTATATATCTCATCATCATCCGAATCAGAGATAATTATATGATACTTGGGTAAAAGACCACAAAGTCTCATGAGATCGCACTTCAGCTTGTTGAATTGATCACGTAACTGATTTTGTTCAATTATTACTTTGTCCATAAGATAAAGAAGTCTCTTCAAGCTATTTTCCATCTTGGCATAGTCGTCCCTGATGGGAAACATAGAAGAATCAAACTGCTGGACAACCTTGTCGAACAAGGTTGAATAACCTTCACAACTACGTTCGAGGTTCAGCCTGTTCTGCAATGATTCATCAACAAAAAAATGGTGGTCTGATTCTTTCCCAATCAACCTTTATTTGCTCCCACTTCTGTATAAGATTAGCCATTGGTACGTTACTATTCTAATCAGACTTTAAACTCTCTCACTTCTGCATAAGTTCATCCATTGTAAGCTTCTTACTTCCGCTAGCATCAGACATTGTTTTTTTAAAAAAGCTAAAAGGCTATGGATAAATATGAATTTAAAGAAATATAATAGAAGTCTATGGATGACTATGAAATTTTCAAGTAAAGAGATTGTTAATATAGCCAAAGTGTGCACCTAATCAATTTAATATATATAAATGCAAAGGTAACTTTTCAAGTCTGTTTACTGTTTTACGTTCAGAGAAATTGAATGTAACAAGATAAGTAGGTGGTAAAAGACAACAAGTAGGTGGTAAATGCAAAAAGAAATGTAATTTCGACCTAATAAGCCCACAGTTTTTCTATAGTAAAAAAATAACTTCAGCTTGAAAAGCCAAAGTCAAATTAAAAGGCTTTATTTACTATTTCTAAATGCAAAAGTAACTTTTCAGGTCATTTACTATATGGTCAGACAAATAAAATGTAAGATGAATTAGGTGGTAAAAGACAAAAAGTAGCTCGTAAATACAAAAAGATAAGTTTCAAGTTAAAAAATATCAAAACATGCTCAAGTTTTGTCCTGCAGTCTGTAGTTTAGCAATGAGTTTTTTCCTAAAAACTTCAAACTAAATATGTTGAAGTTGTTTAGTTCATTTGCTAACACTTCAGATCGAACATGCTGAAGTTTTTCCCAACAATACGTAATTTTCTATTGAGTTTTTGCTTAACTTCAAACTTATCCATGCTAAAGTTTTTTTATTCATTTCCTAACACTTCACACTAAACAGGCTGAAGCTAAAATTTCATGCTAATGTAGCATGAAGTTGTTTCACATTGAAGCTAAAACTTCATGCTAATGGATGCTGAAGTTCATTTGCTAAAACTTCATACCAAAACATGCTGAAGTTTTGTCCTATAATCAACAGTTTTGTCATGAGTTTTATCCGAAACTTCAGTCTAAACAAGCAAAATATTTTTAGTTCATTTGCTAAAACTTCAGACTAGACATGTTTAAGTTTTTGTCGTACAGTATGTAATTTTCTAATGAGTTTCTGCTAATGCGTGCTGAAGTTATTTAGTTCACTTGCTAAAACTTCACACTAAACATGCTGAAGTTTCAAAAAATATGCTTAAGTTCATGATAAAAGAGACAAAAGTATTTGATACAATCCAAGACAACTTCAGACTAATTAACGCGAAGAGAACAAAAAATTAAAAGATAGACATCACATAATTCACAAAAAATAATATATATTCTCAAATCCAATTTTGTTCACTTACATCATTGAAAAAAAAAAAATTATTTTTCATTTACAATTTATTCTCTATTGAGAAAATTCACATAGAGTGTCTTCATATTCTTCATAGTCATGTCCTAGTTGCTCCTCTGGAGTTTCATAACCGCTATCTTCTTTCCACTTTCCATGAGCCCAAAGATTCGCAGCCAATTCTCTCCTGAATGTCAACGCATCACTTTGTTTGAATTTGAAAACATCATCTTGCTTCAACCGCATCTCAAGGAACTTAAGAGCAAGTATACCACAATCAACGCTAAAAAAAGAACATGAAAAAAATTGAAGATTAATTAACATAATAACACAACTCTAAAAAATAAAGAAAAACCGATAAAGATATGATGCATGGTAAACATATGCCAAACACGTACTTGTTCTCCTGTAGGGGTGTGTTCATCCACTTAATCATAAAACTTTTCACAGGATTTTCTTGATAAGTTTTATTGTGTGTGCCAAAATTCAAGCATTCGAGCAAGTGTGTGATCAACCAGGCATAATTTTGGACATGTTCCAACGCACGCTCATATGGTGAATTGCTCAAGGAATCGTACACATATATAGTTTTGGTTTGAAAGTACAGAATTCCAAGAAAGTAGTGAATAGATGACTGACCAACATTTGGATTAAGTCGAAATGGAAAGAATACTTTTTCGGCAGATGCCCATGAGATACCACATGAAAGGTCAATGCCACTTACGTAGTTGGTCACCTTTTCAGCAGTTGATTCCTCAATAAACCAGGTAAACTCGGTAAGTTCCTCAATCTCCATTTCTTCTTCATAATCCACAGCTTCCTCAATCACTTGTTTTTGATAGCCCGCTTTCTTTTTGATTTGCTCTTTTTCTCTTCCACTTTTATTTTCTCCTCCATTCTCTTTTCCTTCCTTATTCTAATTTTCTCCTTTTGTTCATCTGAAGGATGAACACTAGCCAACTTAGTCATATACTGATCAAAAAATAAATTTGTTATTGCACATTTTGATTTTGGATAACTTGGAAGGTGATAGCAATATTTTTTGTGCAAGAAATATATGCCCACTTTAATATGTTGTAAATGAACAACAACAAAAAATAAATATGTGAACTTAACCACAATATAGTTCATAGTAAAAAATAAGTTTAGGTAATGAACTAAAAAATTCAGCACGCATAAGTATGAAGTTTAGAAAAAAATTATTACAAAACTACAAAACTGCATGACAAAAACTTAAGCATGTTCAGTATGAAGTGTTAGGAAATAAACTAAAAAACTTCAGCATGTTTAATTTAAAGTTTAGAAAAAAACTCATTACAAAACTAGAGACTGCAGGACAAAAACTTCAGCATATTTAGTCTGAAGTTTTAGCAAATAAACTAAACAACTTCAGCATTTATAGTCTGAAGTTTTTAGGGAAAAAACTCATTGCTAAACTACAGACTGCAGGACAAAACTTCAGCATCTTTTAGTATGATGTTTTAACAAATGAACTAAAAAACTTAAGCATGCATAAGTCTGAAGTTTACCAAATTACAGTACAAAAACTTTAAAACAAACATAAGGCTAAAGATTTAGGAAATACAGTTCAAAACCAATTCAAAAAACAAACTTAATAACTTACTTCATCTGCAAGATCAGAGGTAGAGTCCAAGAGCTCGGTAAAGAATGACTTTGGAATATCGATTCCAACAAATCTGAATGGCTTGGAATTATATTCCCCGGCATCCGTCTTCAACCAGTCTGTAAATCTCTGCATCAATCTGCTGTCTTGATTTATATAATGGAAGGGACACCTTCGTGTAATCTTTCCTTCTTTCCAATCTTGCCCCTTTGCCTTTTGATTAGGAATGACGTAAAGAGATTTCAACCAAATACTCTCCATACGAATCATTTTCCCTACTTTAGCTGGTTTTCTTTTTGCTTGTTGTTCCTGCTACTCAGTCGCAACTAACTGTTGCGGTTCAGCAGCAGGGGAAAAATCCACAGCCATAGGGCAGATACTTGACCAACTCATTGTTGTTCATGATGTTCCTGTCTCTCTTCACCAACAACAACAACAACAAAATTAGCTTTTAAACCAGTCTCTTGTGTACTACCCAATGAAAATGAACATAAATTGAAGTTGAGGATATCACTGGTATCACGTAAAACATTAGGAGAACTGGACACCTTCCTTCTCTTAGGATTTGGAAGAAGTTGTGATGCATCAGATGAGATCTGCAAAAAACAAGAAAAATATATACATAAATAAAATTGATAGAAACACACATTAGGCAAAAAAATACCTTGTAATCGAAATGCAGCAAATAAATACCTGGTCTAAGTGTTGCGACACAGATGGTGTTTGCATACCAACGGATCCGCTTGCATTACCCTCACATATGCCTATATCTTCATGCAAAAAAGAAATTAAATAATACTGATTAAATTTTAAAAATACTACAAAGACACTTCACACCTGCCTGTGAACCAACACGTGTGAAGAGATATATTTCTATTTTTTCATATAGCCGAATGAGCTCTCCAATTTCTTTTTCGGCTACATCGAGTCTTTTTGAATAATCATTAAAAATCACAAAAAATAAAAGAAAGTATGTAAAATTTCAAACTGAAAATAAATACTTGGATCAAATGTAATAAATTCGTGATGTATAGAATACCTTGACGTTTGCCTTCCACTGCGCTATTGCCAGACTGCATACCTTTGTCGATCTCAGCAACTCCAGCTTCATTCAATGGTGCGGCATCGTTGGGGAGCCTTGGAGTATTCTGCGGAAGGATTTTCTCGACTCTATTTGTAACAACCCGATCGGTCGTTTTGAGTATGTATACTTCTTTCAACTATTTGAAGTCATGAATAACTTCATATGATGTATTATGACGTGTGTGAATCGCCGGTTTTAGTTTTCAGGTGTTTCAGAATTAGTTCGGAAGAATGAATTTCATGTTTGAAGCTTTAACTTGGAAGAGTTAACCAAGTTTGACTTTTTAGTATTCAACCTCAGATTAGAGTTTTGATAATTTTGTTAGGTCCGGATAGTGATTTTAGACTTGGGCGTATGCCCAGAATTTTATTTGGATATTTCTAGAAGGTTTCGACACCAATTGACGAAAGCTGGAAATTTGAAGGTTTGGAATGTTCATAAGTTTGATTGAGAGTTGACTTTGATGATATCGGGTTTAGATTGTGGTTCCGAAAATCTCAGTAGCTTTGTTACATCATTTATGACTTGTACGCAAAATTTGAGTTCATTCCGAATTGAATTGTTATAGTTCGGCTCGAGTTTTGAAAATCGAAAGGTTTAAAAATTTCTAAGTTTGAATTATGGTACGATTCGTCGTTTCGATGTTGTTATATGTGATTTGAGACTCGAATAGGTCTGTAATATGTTTTGAAACTTGTTGATACATTCGTACGGGGTCCTGAGTGGCTCGGGTATGTTTCGGGATGAGTTTTGAGCGAGTCTGGGCATTTCGGCACTCTGATGTTGTTCTGAAACTTTTGAANCGAACCGCAGAATTCTTCTCGCGGCCGTAGAAAAGGGATTCTGTATGTTAGATGGTCCGATTTCGGAAGCTTGTATCTTTTAATCTATAAGGAATTTGGAGATAATTCAAAAAAGAAAGTTGTAGCCCTTTGAATCTAGTTTCAGAAAAATATACCATTAATCATTTGGACATTTATAGAGAAAGTTATGGTTAATTTACTGAAGCATGGTAGTGCAAAGGCTGCTGAAGTGCGGCCGCACAATTTGGATTGCAGCCGCAGAACCTGGAATGTGCGGACCGCACAAAAATTTTGCGGTCATCACATTGGGAGATCAGATTGGTACCATATAAACGAGGGTTTCATCTCATATTTCATATTTGGACTTTGGGAACTTGATTTGTGGCGATTTTTCATGGAATTTTCAAGAAATTCATCGAGGTAGGTGATTCTAACTTGGATTTGGTTAATATACATGAATATATCATTATTTTCATCATTTAAACACACAAAAAAACTTACACGACATATTCTGTTAACTAATTCATCATCAAACGTTGTTGTAGAACGTTTAGAATGACTCTGGGTACGAGGTAATTCTCCAATTATAGGAGTTCGATTGGTTTCTTTTGATCGACTCTAACTGTGTGGTGATTCACCAGTTGAACGAACCGGATTCAGTACCTTCGAATGAATACGGCTGCATGGTAATTGTCTAATCAAAGGCATTGAATTCAATTCCTCTTCGGTAGGAATTATCTCCAATACCCTAAATGTCGGATTTTTCTGTTTAATACAAAAAAGTATATTATCAAAAATAAAATAAAACTGATATGTCAACATATTAACAAAACTACAGAGAAAGGAAAAAATAAAGAACATTAATTTACACCATGATTACTGAAGTAATACTCATGAAGTTCTTTAAATTTAGGCTCTCCCAAAGATGTATAACGTAACATCCTGGGAACCTGAGAGACATCAAGGTAGTCGTAATCTTTTAAATATTTGTCCCTAATATATGGGAAGCGCTCATAGAACCAAACACATAATGGATATGGAAATCCACCTACAGTATACTCAGTTGGATTATTTTTGTCCTTGTTATCCAAAACATGTTTCATTGAAGTAATAAACTTCTCATAAGATGCATTACCCCAAGGATGATTAAGATAAGCCTAATCGTCTTCAACAATAGCTACATACTCCTCCAACACAGTTGATTCATTCTTTCTTCCGAACAAAATAAACTCCACAATAAGAATTTCCATAAGCTTCACAGCATCTTCATCACTCTCGCATACGTGTTTGAAATTCACACCATCCTTTTCAATTTGATTCTGTATCATATATTCTCGAATGTCCTTCAAGGTCACACCCTTAGATTTTCCAAAATAGCGCTTCAGAATCTTACTCTCCCGTTTAATTGTTTTTTCAACATTATGTATTGTGATCCTCAAACCACACATAATGTGAAAGTCTTCAAGGCTGAATGACACATCACCACCAAAAATCTTGAAAATAATGGAATCTCGATCATTGGTGAATACGGGAGAAAGAATCAAATAGTGAACCAACTCCATGCTGCAATGGAAATTCTCAATAGCCATGATATACCGAAATATACCATTATTCAGCTTCTCCTATTATGCAGGAGTCAAGAAAGTTGCAATTAAACCCTTCAAACCGTGGTTCTCCTTCCAGTAAGCACGACAATTAAACCAACATCGAAACTCATAATATCTCTCCCCTGATTTTGTAGGTACAACAACAGGGACTTAAGGAGCTTTACGTATTCTAGGTGCTTTAGGTGCTTTAGGATCTTTAGGTGCTTTGGATTTCGTAGATGCCATATGTTCAAAAACAATTAAAGGTAGGAAAAATAAATTTAGAACATTATAAAAAAAAATTAGTTAAAACTTCAGCACAATTTAGCTTAAGTTATATTTTAAAGCCCTCTAACTTCAGAGAAATACAGAACAAAACTTCAGCAAATACATAACGAAACTTCAGCTTTAAGAATACTGAAGTTCAGAAATTACAGAATAAAAAATTCAGTCAAAATATGCTGTAGTTTTACAAATACAGAACACAAATTCAACTCCAAATAATGTTAAAGTTCATCAAAAACAAAACAAAAATACTTTTACAAAACACAAAACAAACCTTCAGCCCCTAGAATTAAGTTATCCTTGAAGTATTATTAAAAACTTCACACTTTAATAGCAACATCTATTTGAATCTCAAAGTTTTTAAAAATTTCAACGTCTCCAAAAATCACCAAAAAATATATAGAATTTTTATCAAAAACACAAATACAGTTTCAAAAAATCTAAAAACACTAATCGTAAAAGTAAAACCTACAAAATTAATACACTAATCAAACTAAAAACCTAGGAAACTGTTTTAGCACAAATAAAAAAAGAAAAACGATTCAACTAAGATTACTATCAATAAAAAACCTAGAAATTAAATCATAAAACTAATCCTAAATTAAAATCACATACAAAGTTAATGCAATGTGCAAAAGCAACTATTAAAATCGTGCCTGTGATTATACTTAATGTTGTTAGGAAAGAAACAATTGCAAAATCAAGCAGGATGCAATGCCGAAAACCGTTTGATTTCAGAGAAGAACAAATCAAAACCGCGAAGAAGGAGAGAGAGACAGAGACAAGAGACAATATGCCTTATACTTGGAGAGAAAGTAGTCTTTTACTAAATAAGAACAAAATTATCTTTTTAAAATACTTTTAACAAAAAAATGAATACGAATGCAAATGAAAAAAGAAAGCGGGTACAAGTTAAAAAGGACCACTGCATGCAATTTTTACAATTGCATAAGCTAGGCTAGGCCCATATCCTTAACCAAAATCCAGCCCATTATTTCAAATGGGCCAATTAAACTACATTATTCAGTCCCGCAAAAGTCAAACCAACCACAATTTGGTGATCCACGTGGCAACTTTATCCTCTTTCCTCATTTGTGCGCTCGTGAACCGTAACGTAATCACAGCGCATATACACGGAAAAAATACTCTAATCCCTCACCTCATCAGTCTTCACCACTTCATACCTACCCCCTC